ACATAACTTTAAAGAAGGTAAACCCCATGCTGCAGAGCCACAAAGGCCAGTATTTTACCCTTCTGTGTATGTACATCAGCAGGGGTTATGAAAAAAATCAAGGACAGAGTGTGACTGACTAATAATTTTTTAAATTACTTAACTTACTTATACTACCTTTTATACTTGATCAGTCAGTCACTAGTCACACTGAGCTTTAAGCAAATATTCATGTGATAAAGAATGACTTGCATAAGAAAGTCCTGTAGAATCAATCCCAAGCAGTTACTCTCTAGTTGTATCCAAAGGGCCAACCTGTGATATAAAATACCGAATGGAAAATCTGAGTGATATTTATTGACAACATTACTGTAAGGCACTTATAATGCTCTTGCAGGTGAAAGGTGATTGAGTCAGTATCAGAAATCTTTAGGCAGACATAGGTTCTCCATTACTCCTAGACACTCCACTTGTTTCTGACCTCATTCATTCTATATTTATAGTAGATCATCTGCACTAGAAACACTCCATATTTATTTAGGATTTAGTCCAAATGAGTTTCATCAATATAAAACAAGTGTGAGAAAAGAACCAGGCTCTTGGATTCTACAAACAAGAATGAAAGGAAGAGCTCATGCATTAATACTTTGAAAGAAACATTAAATTTATGGGTTCATTTGATTCCCTGTCATCCCAAAGTAAGGCTCCTCTGATTTTAAGTGCACTGCACAGAACGATATAAAATAGACATAGTTAAAAAGGCATCAGCTCAGCTAGGTGCATCCTTAATACCCCAGTTCAGCACGGTGCTGAACTGTAAGCACTTATGCAATCCAGTTGCACTCAATTCACATCCACTGGAATCAATGCTCATTCTGGTATCTGTTGGGGGCTTTCATAGTTGATAGGTTGGTCAGAGCTGCTACTGCTCTAAGCAGGCTGCTATAGGTCCAGCAAATGGAATTAGAAGACCAGCTGATGACTATTTCCTACTTCCTGGCCAAAAACTCCAAGGTGAAAGATAAGACTTTTCTGGTGAAAGATGAGTGTACCATGACCCTACTCTGGAGAAGGTCTATTCTGCTTCAGACATTTTTGCCATAAAGTTTAAAAATACATTTTTGTTTTTGTTTTGCTTCACTATGAATTAGTAAAATAACTTTTTTTCAAAAGGAATTTTCACAAAATACTGGTTACACAGTAAGTATAAATAAATGCCTGGTCTAAAAACTGAGATGTTACACTTAATTAAAGAATGCCAGACTCATGTGAAACTCTGTGGCTTGGGAATCAAGCTTTGGGACATCTCTGGGATGCAGAATACACAAAATTCCTGTTCTTCCTAAATCCCAGCACAGCTTCTCATGTCATATCAGTATGCATGTCTGAAATGGCTGAACTTGTGGACATCTCAAAAGATTATGAATGAGAACATGTGAAAATGGAAGCAAATCCTCTACTTCTCAGTTAAAACTGCTGCTGAATTCACAGAGAGCTTTGCTGAGATGAGGACTAAGCAAGAACTGCTGTGCCTAGAATATATTCATTGGTGACTGAGATGAGGTAAATGCCTGCATTTACTGATATTAAAAAGCTCACATAGTAGTGTGCCTGTAATGTGGAACAGTACTTGACCGGTAACATCCCTTTCTTACTAGCTAACCCTAGTTTTCATTTCTTGCCACACATCCTTCTTGCACTCTCCTATTTACTGTCACAGATCCTGTAAAACACCTGCTGCTTATACATTGTCACCTTGTTGCGACTCACCTTGCTGTAAGTGAAGTCAATGGCAAACCTTCGTTGACCTCAAAAGGAGCAGGATTTGTCCTGAGACGCCTAATCCAAAGCGGGACTCCCCCTTAATTCAGTAAGCTTTGGATCAGACCTAAAAGGGATCTTAGCAGAATCGAGAAGTGGCAAGACATAGCCATATATCAAACCCACACCTGAGTGTTTACCTCGCATTCCTGATCTTTTATGTGAAAGGGATTAAAAAGCAAGGTGTTCCTGACAACTGCTATGCAGAATTTGAATGACTGAACAAGCATCTGTAGGAGAGCTATGCACATTGACATGGTTTCATCTCTTTCTATAGAACTTCACAAGGTAGCAAATATTTGAATTCGAGGCTTCACAGTAATATTTCCTCATTTGGTTTCAATCTTTCCACTCTTGAAATCCCGCCATCCTTTGTATTCCTACAGAGGAAAGAAGATGGTTCTGCCTCTTGTTTCAGGACAAACTAGCAACTTACCACATAACAGAACAAAAGACGAGAAATCTGAAAGTGATGTTATCCAAACACTTCAGATAAAACCTTGCCACTGAGCCTAACACAGTCTGTGATGGCTCCAGACTGTTTGGAAGTTCATCCAACTGATTCCAGCATATCTTGTTTTACATGCAAATCTGCTTGTTTGCTTATGTTCCCCAAGCCTGAATGTGCTGTGACAATTTTTGCTCTTGTGTATGTCATTCAGCCAAGTTTCTACAGCCATGTTTGAGATGCCACAGGTGTATTTGACTATAATTTGGAGCATATTTGTATTTACAGACTGAAGGTCACTAGAAAGAGAAACTGAAAGCCTGTAATATGGTGACTTCCAGCTGCCAGAATCACGTCAAATGTCATTAATTTAGACAAAAGGCAATTGAAATAATGAAAACCAATGCAACATGTATACAAGTGCAATGGGAAACTCCCTGTACCCAGAAAGTATAGAACTGTAACATTCAACCAACCCAGGAAATGAGGGAAAAGGGAAATAGAAAGGTAAAAAAAATATATATTTAGACATCTTGGGAAAGGAAAGAAATGGCCACTTTCTTTTGCAAAGCCTGAGGAGAAATCTGGCCTGAGTGGCCAAAGGGGGATTTTCTTCAAAGGTCTTCTTAAAGAAGTTGACCTAACTCTTTTCAAGCAAATCCATAACAGGGCACTGCTAAGTCATGAGATGAGCTTGGAAAATGGCAAGCACTCATGCAAGTTTAACCGTCCTATATTTTTGCACCTATATTATCCACCAATCAAAAGAATGAATGCGAGTCACAGATGAAGAACCTAAGAATAAACATTTTAGTTTTGCCCTATTCATCTGGTCAATCTCAATGTGTTGACTCCAACCTAGTCTTAGGAAAACACTAATTAAGCATATGTCTCAAGCCCTATTTGAGCTCAAAACATCTCAAGACCAACTGCCTTGTTTTCCATGTTTAAAAAAAAAATAAAAAAAAAAAATAAAAGATTCTACAAACACACACCCGGGGTTTCTCTCCCCTCAAATCTGCCTGCTGGGTACAGTGTGGGATGTAACCAAGGCAGCTCCTACGGCTGGGCGATCTCCCTGTTCAGCGCAGCGTGTCCCAGCAGCGCAGCTCCACAAGGCACTCCTCCTGCCTGCATCTGGGAGGAGGAGAGGTCTGTTACTGACCACATCGGTGATGTCTCAAGCCCTGCAGGACTGAGAAGCTGGTCCCTGACTCCTGCAGGCTGAGTAGCAGCTGTGTCATAAAAGTGCTGGGGGGGCTGATGGATGCTAGCTTGTACCAGGGGATCGCGGTGTGTAACACGGCCTCCCTGAACCCTTTTTGGCACAACTTACGCCCATCTGCTTCCCCTCTGCTCCTTCTCCTGGAGAGGAACATATGGCCCAGAATATGTATGTCAGAAGTAGAAAATGGATTCATATAGTTTTCTAAAATATTCTGAGTATTTCTTTTTTCTCCTATAAGCTTTTATTCCAGTTACGAACCTTATGTTCTGGCATAATAAATAATTTTTTTTTGCAAAAGTAAATCTTTGCTTAAACAGCTAGGCAGCCCACAATGAAAAGCTAAAATTAAAAAAAAAAAAAAAGTGTATTGCACCTCAATAGTAAGAAGTTGCTATTGCAAGAAAAATCTTTGACAGGATTCTGGGGTTTTTTTCCATTCCACTATCAAATGTTAATACTTACCTTAGCCCAATAGCGTTGCATCCAATAACAAGTCAACAACAGAACAAAATAAAGCCACAGTTAAGCTTAACATGAACATCTAAACACCAAACATTTTCACTCTGAGTGGTTCAAACTGGAGATAAGCTTCCACAATTTAATTCATGTTAAATAGTACCTCACATAACAAATAGAACAATGAAATTCCTCAAGAAGCAGGAAAATTTTTCTTTTAAACAGCAGTACCAACACCTGTGCATGCAGTTCTGCTTCCCTAACAAGGGTAAACTTTTCCACTGTAGCAGTGACAGTCTTGCCAGCTTGCCTGTTTGAAGACAGCAGTACTGGAACAAAGCTTCATCTGAATGTTTCCTCATTTCTGTCTGAATATATACAAATTTTATATAGATACATATATATGTATGTATGTGTGTATATATAGCTTCATATAATATATACTTGTTTATATACATATACATGCATGCATACAAATATATATGTGTATATATATATGTTTTGATATTTTAATACAAATTTTAATACAGAACACTCTAATTAGCAATCACAAAAATGTAGTATAAAAGAAAACACACTGCAATCCTTGCCCAATGTAAAACCATGCCAGACAGCAGCTGTTGACACTACTCTTTGATAACCTGTCCAGCACACCTTATGAGTCACTGATACAACACCTATGCAATCCCTGTAATAGGACAAGTACCAATACTGAAGTGTATGCTTCTCATAACCAGATGTTTTCCTAACAAAAAAGCAGGTAGTGTTCACTGGCTGTATTTTCACTGAAGTGTTTAATAGGAAGTTCATTAACAACCACACAGATGTTTCTAATTCCATACAACAAAAGTAAAGTATAGCAGCTGCCTAAAATCAACTGAAGTCAACAGGATTCCTTCTGCTGATTTCAGTGGGGTTTAGGACAGATTTGGGTGTATTCACTTCATGATACATAGATTTTTAGATTCTTCTTTTCTCTAAATATTTTAGTGAAAGTTGTTGATTCCTACATGTCAGATACATGGGTCATGAAACCATTTTCTACTGTCTTTGCATTAAGCCTACTGTTTATCCTACCTTCGCTGCCACAGACGAGTTGGGTTTCTCCAGCAAGTCCCAGAGCTTCTTCCTTTTCTCTGGGCAGCAGGTATTATCAAACTCTTCCCCTTCTCTCTCTCGCATTGTCTCTGCCTCTCTCCTCAGCTCCTCATTCATCTGCTCTTTCTTTTGATGGTATCTTGCCTGGCAGCAAGATTCTAAATATATCTCATCAATCCCCCAGTAATCAAGCTCCTGGCCAAAAGAAAGAGCACACATTTCTTCCATCATATGTAGTTTCCCTGTCCTGTAGAAATTCAAAATGGAAGTGAAAGCCCCTGGGTGTCGATCAAAAAAATATTCATTTTCATTTAGGTTATAGTCATCACATACTTCTAGCAGAGATTCATGAGTATTGCAGTCTCTGAGCTTTCCTAATCGTGTCCTTGGAAGTCTGTCCAAAGTCCTCCACAGCACTTCATGGTTGAGCCCACCGACATTTATTTTAACTCTCCGTGAGCAGGCTTTGCTCCTAATGATCTCCACTGGTTCTGGAGGCAAAGAAAGGGTAGACCTTGAAGACTTTTTGTTGATCCCTGGTGGAGCCTTCTCAGCCATTCTGAAAAAGATGCAGTTGTAACACCAGAGTCTTTAGGAGAAGGAGCTTGGAGACTACAAATATTTGGGCTGAGTCCTCTTCAGACAGACAGCTCCATTCCTGAAGCTAAAAAAGACAAAAAATTAGAATATTGCAATGTGCAATATATTCCCCAATTTCTCTCTGTCTCTCTCCTTCCACGCTTTCATATGCAGATGAAAACTGAATGATGGTAATTTGCTGTCTCTACAGAGACTCTTTTGTGGTAGTATACAGAACCACTGGAACAACTGGGACAGCTAAGAGCACTATATTTAAGCAAAAGAAAAATTCACTGGGATTTCTGCATTCATAAAAATCAGCTGTGACAGTTTGTACATAGGACTTGGGTTTTTGTTTGGTTTTGAGTTTTTTTAAATCCTTTTCTGATGTAGCCATGTTAGCTAAATCTGACTACTTACCAATTAATTTGTGAGACGTGTTAATGGAAAGATTGTAGGCATATCCATAAGGAAAAAGTGAGACAGAAGCTAGCTTCCTTTTTACGGAAAATTTAAAATTTGGGAGATACTGAAATACTGAATAAAACAATTAAAGCATATCAAAATCTCCTGTGAAACCAAACTGCTTCCCTCCCTCCCAACTCAAATCTTGATTTGCTGTGTTATTTCATGGCCAAACGTTACTCACCGAACAATTTAATTGCCATGCTGACGACTCACATCTTCTAGCACCAGACAGGGCTGATTTCTCGACAAATAGGTCAAAAGATGCTAATTCTTCTGCAGCCGACTGACCAGTCACACGTGTTATATAGGCAAGGACTGTGTCTACCATTCCCTGGCTCCTCAGAAAGGCTCCTCTCTCCCCTAGTTTTTCACCTCTTAAGTTGCCACAGGGACACAATTGCATGACAGCAATCATCAGTCTCAGTTTTAATAACCCACAAGTACATCCTCACTCACTGTGCCTAGTGCTTCAGTGAACTCTGACATTCAGATGCTCATCACCAAATCTGGAATATCAGTATCAAGCAGGAAGGAAACCCACCCACCACCTCTACTATGATCCATTATCTGCCCCAGTACTTAAATTATAACTAGCAATGGTATTATGGTCCAAAGGGCAGAATATTAAGAAAGCTTAGACAAGCTTCTCTTCTGAGGTAGGAAAGTCCTTAGTAATTTCCCTCCTCCCGTTCTCTGCAAATCAACAATTCAACAGCCTGATCTTCTTTTTTGAAGTGAAATAACTCCAGCTTTAAAAAAAGTATTTGATGTGAACAAGAATATGATCCTCTGCAGAGTAAGCATGAAGGCTGTGATGAGAGGGATTGTTACCTAGAAATACACCAGGGATAAATGGCAGAGAGGGAGAACTATTCGTACTAAAGGACCAAGATGGCACAAGAAAAAATGCGTGCAAACCCACCATGAAAAATGTGGACATTCGAAAGGGAGTTAGAAGGTTACAAAGATCAGATCCTCACCGGAGCAGTGAGGATCTTGAAAAACTCTTCACTAAAAGTTATCAGGAAAAACAAAGAATTATTTCAGCATGTCTTCTGACATACTTATGACAGTGTTGAATATGTTGCTAGTTTAAAATCAAAATTCCTGCACTTCATTATACTTAAACTTTACAAGTTCCTCCACCAACAGATGAAGTAATAATAAGGCTCAGTCACCTATGATACAGATATTAACAGACTTCCACGTCCAAAACATCAGGGAAAAGGAAAACTACCATCAGAGTAATATTTACATTTACAGATCTATGTTTTTTCAGTTGAGCTCATAACTCACCGTCTCGTTAACCCCCATTATGGCAACAGACCAAAACACCACTATGTTAGCAGTTTCACTGTCAAACTGAACCTACTTCAGAAACACAAGGGCCAAAATATTCTGCCTCTTCCCATCCTGCCTTCAGCACTGCACTGTGAAGCTCCCTCCTGATCTCCCAGTGCAGCCCACAGCACCTCTGTGACTGTTTATGTAAGGATTTAAGCCCGTAGCATTTAACTTCATTCATGAAAAAGATAATCTGATAACTTCATTTGCAAAGGTAAATGTTGTATCAAAATCAAAGCCTGGACATCAGAAGGTTTCCATAATAAATATTCCTTTCTATTGTGTTTGTTTCGGGTTTTGCTTTGTTTCTTCTTCACATTAGACTGATTTTTTCTCAAGTGTTACCCTCATCCTCATTGCCTTAGATGCAAGGGGATGATGGGGGAACTTCTGAGAAGGAGGAGGGACTCAAACATTTGCAAGGTGTCCTCACTTAGGTATCTCCTAGTGGTCTGTAATGCATTAATCAGTCTTCTGACATAGAGACAACCACATAAACACTAAGCAGTTATGAGAGGATATTTCTCCACAGAGGAAATATTTACAAGCTTTTTAAAAAAAAATCCTTTTAGACTTTAATGCACAATGATGTTTCTCCTTTAAAGTATGTCTTACATAACAAAACACAAGCATTTAAGAAATTCATAGAGAGGTTCTGTCACTCTCCATGAAATCAGTCAAGTCTTCAGGCAGTTTCTACAGAGGCTCACTAGTTAATTCACTATTGAATCTCAGGGATTTCTTCTTTTTTTTTACTTAATAGGTGTACCCTAATATTAGCAATACCAAGAAAAACACAGGGGAAATCAAGCAGTTGATCTGATTAATCTTAGGTTAACCATATCCTCATTCGCTTTTCTGATTACAAAAACTAAAGATATGCAAGACTATGCATTCTTTTAGCTTTTATGCAATGTAGTTACCACATAGATTTGTTAAACAGTGCAAAATTATAGTGCCATCAACACTGGTCTAAAGCTGATAAAACATTTTCTGATTTGTCAGTATAACTATTGGTTGCATCTTCCTACTTGAGGAAACATGGCTTTTCCAAAAAGCTTTGAAATTCCTGATTAACTGTGGTCATACTGAAGTAGGGAGTGAAATACCATTAAGTTTAGTCTTGAGAAGACTGGATCCAAGGTGCTACGTGTGTGCATATGTAGCAAGGGATGAACCAGCATTCACATCCAGCACCCTGAAAAGATCAAAAATAAAAAGCATTTTCCCAAATGAAGCATCATGAAACATGAGGGCTATTTTTGCCTTTTTTTTCAGAGCTCCTTTCACTGAAATATATACAAGCAGCGGACTACATAACTTAAAAGAAATAAATCCTTTTAGTTTGCTGCCTAAGTGCCTTTCTTCACATCTTCTTTAGTTTTCTGCTGATGATTTTTTTTAAATTTCTTCCTGCTCATCTTTTCCCCAAGCCCGGACTACAGAGCCTGTATTTAACTGTGCCTTTAACAAAAACATAATCAATAGCCTCTACTTTAACTACATAACATTTTACACTTCATAATCCACATTATAAATGTCACACAAAATCACCAGATCTTTCATTATAACAAAATTATGCAAGTGAGGTTACCTTTACAATTCATTAAATAACCTTTCTGGATTTTAGCTACTGCAACTAACTCTTCAAACGCTGCAATTTTTGTCCTGAGAAGGCTTGAAATATTTTTCAGTTTTGTTTATTGCCTTAACCTTTTGGCTGTGTGCAACTCCACCACGAACTCTGGCCACCACGGGCTAGTGAGAAATGCAACTACCCATCAGCAGGCAGGCAAAGCCAGCCTGCTGCTCACCAGCACTGCTTCGCAATCAGTAGAGAAAGACATAAATTCCAACCACAGATATGTAAGAGCAACTCCAGATAAACCCCATATTCTTTCCTTGCAACAATAAAATGACTTTGTAGGAAAATGCTTGTAATATTACATAAAATCCAAATCCAAGCCAATTCTTTGCATTAAATAAAAGTTAAAACTTCAAAGACTACTACTCAAAAAGCTAGGAAAAGCCAGAATGGAGGTGCACCATATGCATCATACGCGTATAGCTTTTAACAGTGTGGTTCCCCCCCACGCCAATCCCTTCTGCTTTAAGTGAACAGGTAATTATTTACCATTTCTCTTCCTCTTTCTCATTCAGTATTTGGCATGTCCCAAACCCAACACTACACATAAAGTGATGGATTTCCCTCGTGGAGCTCTCACTCTCCTACCCGAGTGCTTCCAGGGTAGCCCAGAGTTTCCCTTCGCAACATCACTAGGAGGCCATTATTGCCATTGCTTTATAATGGAGAAACGAAGGTCATAGATGCCTGAAGTATCCAATAATATTGGCTGCTCAAGTTCAGCTAGCTGCTTTTTACAGAGTCCTTAGCATTTTCATCACAGTTGATAGGCATGCCTGTGTGAGCAGATTAAACCCTCAGGCAGAGGAACTCAGTTGCCTGTGCCATCATGATGCTGGAGCATCTCCTGTCACAGCACAGTTAGAACTCTCCCAAATAATTTGCAGGGATGGCTGGAGAGTCAGCATGCTTCAAGGTCTGTTCCTAACAAGTGGTTCGTCCGCAGCCATCTGCTCTGGACCCTAGGTGAGTTTAACCGCACACACAGAGGTCACCACACCAGCTGGCCTGAGCACCACTGGTCCCTTCCAGGGACCACATGTGCAAGAGCTCACTCCAAACAGATTCACATCCAAGCTATTTTGGTGTACCCTAGTCATAAACTTCCCTCCCAATCTTTTCCATATAAATTGTGCCAAAGAAGGTGGAGATGCTACGCTACATAAGCATGCTTCATCATTGGAGCATCTCCTCTCTGTGCATTGAAAGCACTGTGATGAAAAAAGTTCGTGGTATGTAGAAAAAGGCTGTATCATAAGGCCCCCAAGAAAGAGGAGCAAATTCACTTTGTTCTGACTATTAAGAGACCAAATTTTACTATTTTTGTCAGATGATGTCCTTTTGTCAAAACTTGTCGAGCTGTTTGCAAGGAAAGATTGTATCCATTCCATTCCTTGCATTGGAAATAAATGGAAGAAATTTTCAGAATTTGTTGAAAGTCTGTCTTCAACATTTTTTAAACAAAATCTAGATTTTGGGCTCTAAATGTACTGATGGTTTTTTTTTTGAAGTTTAAGAAAGC